CTGATAGACTCACTCCTGGTAGATGCTGGAGATAAAAATGCAATGAATGAAACAATCTACCTCCTCAGAGATCTTACGTTCTAAGCTGCATATCAGTTAAACTCTGTTCCTGCTACATACCTGGCCCACCTTTTTTCCTAGTAATACATATATCTCTCTGAGGACATGCATGATACCATTTCTTCTGATGCTATTTCTTCACTGTGTTGCAAACAACTCATCCCATGCATCCCACACACCTCTCCATTGCCCTGTAGGTGACCTGAAACTTTAATTCCTCAGAGAATGTGGTATTCCATGATTCATAGGCATAGAACATCATAAGGAAAATATTGTTCCAGTTGGGACTCAACTCACTGTCCTGCTCTATTAACTATGCCACTCCTTCTTGATCCTTTTATCCTTAAAGCTTCCTCTGATCTGTCTTTTTCTCTTTCTCACAAAGCCTGTGCTCCTAGGGGAAGTCACACAAAAGCCAATTTTGATTCCGATTAAGGTTTAGTTCCAGAATTGTGAGCCCCTGAAATATTAGTTTTCGCGGAAGTATAGTACTCAGGCTTGTGTTCAACCAGGTGGAGGCAGGCCCCTTTGAGGGAAAGAATAGGGGTAATTAAAAAGGTCTCACCACTACCTTCATGAAGCTGCTTCTCTACTCTTCCTCACCGTTCTTGTATATCCACCTGGACTGATTCACTCTTCAGATGTGCCACAGAGAAGTCTACGAACTCTCCTAGTAAGCTGCTTATTGATTTTCTCTCCTTGTTGGTGGACTACTTTCATAATCAACATGTCTACCATAGCAATAATATTTTCTGAAATCAATTTAATCTTATAATTTAGTATGTTGAGTGAAACAAAAATGTTCAGCTCAGTATATGAAACCAGCATCAGTTAAGGCTCACAATCAATTGATAAGAAGCAACTATTGGCTCAAATGATCTCACCATACAAGGTACTTTTCACCATTTAAAATCATTACAAAACTTAGCAAACTTTCTGCATAAACATCATGCACTTGGTCAGCTAATAACTCATCTATGTCATTATTGGCTAGACTCTCACTCAGGTGGTACCTATTCAGCTTTTGATAAGTTTTTCCCCAAAGCTTCTAGTTCTGTACCCCATTCATAAACAACATATCACATCATCATCATATTCAGAATTCAAACCCAAACTAAACATCATTGGAATAAAGTAATATCAGCAAAGAGCAGAAAGATAGTATGATAGAATTCTTCTGCCCTGTGTCCCTCTTTTCTAGTTTCTGAATCCCTGCCCAGACCCAGGCCTTCATCTACTCCCTTGTCTGTTCTCATTCTCCAGACAACCTTCTGACCTACTGCCTTACCCTCTTGCTAGTATCATCCTTCTCTCCTTCCTCCTCTTTGATGTATGAGTCCTCTTTACGTCTTGCTTTCTCCCATTAGAATGTAAGTTCTTTGAAGGTAGGGACTCGCTTTTTTTTTTCTTGCATTTTTATCCCCAGAACTTATTACAACTCCTGGGATGGAGCAATTGGTTAATACATGCCTTTTCTGGCTGGCTGTTACCAATATAGGGTAGGTATAAGGCTTAAAATAAATCAAAACTATCAAGCAATAAGAAGAATCAACAGACTTACTTGCATGAATCCACATTGTAAACTTTCAGAATGGCACCTATATTTTCCATTCTGTATTCCTTTTTTACTTCTTTTTCTTTTTAAGGCAATTGGAGTTAAGTGACTTGCCCGGGGGCACACAGCTAGTAAATATCAAGTGTGTGGTCTGAGGCCAGATTTGAACTCAGGTCCTCCTGACTTCAGGGCAGGTGCTCTATCCACTGTGCCACCTAGCTGCCCCACCTTTTCCCCCTGTATTCATTTTTAAGGAATATCACAAACATCACAGTTCCCATTTCTTTCCCTAAGACAGGCAGGTTCTTTAAGATGACACTATCACCAATGCTGACAACCAACTACATCTAATTTTAATGTTGCTGTCAATAACTTTTTTCCCCTAACCACTACCCAAGCACCTCAGTTTTACATTTCCATTCTATTCCATATATACTTAGTCCCTGATCTACATTATTTCTAAGAATTTCTCCTGCCTTTGCTCCAGTTGTGATCCCACACGACTGCACCTTGATGTTGAACCCTTACTACACGCACTCAGTCAGCTAGAGCAGTGACATTCAAACTCAAATAGAAACAGGTACCACTAATCCATACTTAAGCATCTCTGTGGACTATACTGACTTGGTTTTAAAATGTATGTTATATTTATTTTATTGTGCTCTTTATTGATTTTGTTAAATATTCTCCAATTAAATTTTAATATAATTCAATTTAGGCCCCATTTGGGAGTGTCACCTGCCTCACCCCAAGTTTGACACCTCTGAGCTAGAGGGTCTCCTAGGCTTAAATTCATAGCATTCCATCTAGAACAATTACAGAAAGAAAAAAAAACCATCAAGGAAATAAAAGCAAAAATATAAGTAAAACACGAATGAAATTTGATTCAATAGCTTTAATGTTTTACAAAGTGTTTTAAATGCGCCCTCACATTGAATATTCACGTAATTTTGCCACAGGACTTTGGTTGGGCAGAAAGTGTTGGACCTAGGGTCGGAGGACCTTCCTCTCCTCTCAGTCACACTGAGTCAATTAATTAATTTCTCTGGACCTTAGTTTCCTCATCTGTAAAATGAGGAAGTTGGAGTAAATCACCTTTGCCCTCTTCCAAATCTGTATGTTACTTTGAACCTAGATGAAACTGCCAGGGGCATTGTCCTCCACCATCCCCCCTCCAATTATCTTTTCTAACATAGGCAGGGCGTCTTCTTGCTTAAGTTTGGTCCTTCTCTTTTTTGTCCTGGACACCATTATACCTACTTAAATTCTCCTTTATTTCTAATTCAATGAACCCATACATACAGTGTCTCATAAGTTTTAGCATAGTTTTCAGCTTCTAAATCTTACCTAGTTAAGCTATTAAAGCTTAAAACTGCACTAAAGTTTTTGGAACACCCTGTATTTTTTTTTTTTTTGCTTTGTCAATCAAGGTTAAGTGACTTGCCCAGGTTCACACAGCTAGTAACTGTCATGTGTCTGAAGTCAGATTTGAACTCAGATCCTCCTGACTCCAAGGCAGGAACTCTATCCACTATGCTACCTACCTGCCCTTATACCCTGTATTTCTTAAGTGCCTACTACATTCCAGGCTGTGCTAGGTAGAAAGGATACAGGTACAAATACTGAAATAATTCCTACTTGCAAGGAGTTTGCATTCTAATGGGAAAGACAATCAGGATGGAGAGAGAGACAGAGAGAAAGAAAGAGATCTAGATATGTACATATCTAGATCTTTCTCTCTGTATATATATATCACAAATATAAAGTGAATAAATGCAAATACATACAAAGCAGTTAAAAGCAAACACACACTGTAAAATCTTCACTTCAAGAAACATTACAAATCAAGCTTTCATAGTTATTTTCCCATGTACATATATATGTACAATATTAGTGTACTGATAGATACAGAGAGTTGAGTCAACTCTAAATGAGACTTAAAAAAAAGACTAAACTATCATGTCCATGGAGATCCCAAAATACTCTTTTCTTTCACTATTGACATTATTCAAAGGAAAATATGAACATGAATTTGTAAAACTTAAAAATATTATGTAAATATGGCTTATTATTAGGATTTTATTATTTTATTTTATTATTATTAGGAAAGTTTCTTAGGGGAAAAAAAGAAATAATTCTATAAGTAACAATAGAAAGGACTAGGAGAGGGCTGGCTGAACTGGATTGGAGTGGACCTAGGGAGGAGTAGGGCTTATCTAAATAGGAGTGAAGGTTCAAGAGAAGGTAATCTTAAACATCACTTTCAGGATATTACTTCCCTGCTCAAGAACCTAAAATGATTCATAATTGTTTACCACATCAAGTTCAAACTCCTCTGCTTCCCTCTCAAGTCTCTTCACAATCTTGCCCCACCCTGCCTCTTCACATTTATTTTCCACTACTCCTCAGTGCACACCTGGTTCCAGTTGGGCTGGTCTTCTCACTATGTCCCTCCGTGCAACATTCCCACCTTTGATCAGGATGTTGCTTCTGCCTGTTTCCTCTAACCATCCTTTAAGATCCAACTCAAGTCCGTAAAGCCTTCCCGTCTGACTACTATTATAACCACATTGCTCTCTTATTAAAGTTCTATAGTCTAACTGCAAAACTCCCCAGCTTAACACTTAGTTCTCTTTCCTGGATGATAATTTATCTTCCCAATTAGACTATGAGCTCCTTCAGGGCATTTATAAAGCTTTTTTTTTTTAACAGTGCTTCACACATTAGAAACTGACAAATGTAGGTTCAGGCATGTTGTATTTGAGGTGACAGTAGGGCATGAAAATAGTAATATCTAGCAGGCAATTGGAAATGTAGGATTGGAGCTCTGGATAGTGATCAGAATTGGAGCTTTGGGAGTCATCCATGTGAAGGGAAAGCTTGTAGTTATAAGAGTAGATGAGTTCTCTAAACCAGAGTTTAGAAAGAGAAGAGCAAAAGGACCCAATAAATGAGCATTGCAAATACCCACAGTTAAGGGGAGAGAAGGGAAAAGGGAGTGACCAATGGTGAAGGAGAAGTCAGAGAGATATGAGGAAAACTTGAGTATTAAATTGTCATGGAAACTAATGGGAGGCTAGAAGGAGGTGTTTAACAATGTGAAATGTTACAGAGACCCCAAAGAGAATGACAACTGTCAAGAGGTCCCAGGATATAGTGATTAGGAAGGCCACTTTTGAGAGCATAGTTTTCATAGATTTGCAAGGACAGAAGATTGCAGGGGGTTGAGAAATAAATGAATGATGTGCAAATGGATACTGTTTTGATTTATCTTTGTATCTCCACCATCCAGCACAGTGTTTCATATTCTATAAATGTTTGTTCAAGTTGATGTGTATAGAATTCACTTGAGTATTTGTAAATGAAGGAAAAAATAGTACTGTACCTGAATAGATGGATCAAAAGGAAACTTTCTTTTCAATCAAGGGATTTTTGAAGGGTGATCTTTGGTTTGAGATAAAGGATGATGTAATTTGTTACAGCAACAAACCAGAATATTAATTTTTGAGATGGAAGAATCTAGTGAAAAGGGAGAAATTGAAAAAGTTGGTTGAAAATGGAATAATTGATGCTCTCAATACTCCATGAAGAGTAGATTTGGTAGGTTTAGGAATGGCAGTAGTTAAAGAAATTGTATTAAGAGGTGGGGAGTTCACCAATTCTGAAGTCATAAAGGTGTAGTAGTACCAATTGATGATGAAGTCTTGGGTGTAGCCACCCTTATAAGTAACCAATATGGAATGAAGATGGTCAGCTGACTCAAAGGCATAGTCTAAGGTTATGAATATGAATATTGTCTTTGATGATGAGAGTATGATAGCTAGGCTAGCTAATAAATAAGATGTACTTCCAAGGGCTCTAGACTGCCATCTGTTCAGAAAATCAAGCTGTGGTGTTGAGGGGAAGGGAGCTAATTTCAGAATTGCAGAGGAAGAAAAGATGAAAGATAACATCTCTGAGCATACCAGGCCTACAATGGCTTAGTAGAGAAAGTTGTTAAGTCTTGGATAGGTTCTGTGAGATTCTGTCTTTATTCCAAGCTAGGTATTACTACCTAGTAGGAAATGTGGCAGGTGACAAAATTCAGGCAAGTGCTAACGTCGTTAAGGAGAATGGGAGTATATGCTAGAAGCTGATAGATAACAATGGTAAGTGTTTAAAAGGGTAGCACAGCTGGATGGCCTAGATTTCATACAAAGAAAAATAAAGTGAGGGTATAGCACCAATGGTTTATGGTACATTGTAGAGCAAGGAATAGGCCAAGCCCTCATCTTCTCTTATTGAATCTTGGAGGGTGTGAGAGAAGGTAAGACAATACCACAGCAGGGGATGTGGTATTGTCTGGGGAAAACCAAGTTTCCGTTAAAGGGAGGAAATAGAAAAAGATGGTAAGAATTGGGTTATTTATACAGGTTGGGTTCTACCCAATGGAGTGAGGGTTCCACAGAGCATAATGGAATAACTTAGTGCACAAGATAGTCTTACTGAAGCAAAGTATGTGTGTGGGAGGAGGGATGAGAAAGGAGGGGGTCTGATCTTTGGCTGGAGGCAGCAGCTGATATAGTTTGCTGCATGAATGAACCATACAGTTAATCCTTCACACAAAAAGAGATCTTTGTGATAGCCTTTCCATTCACTAGGAAGAAAATAAAATTGAGACAGTTATTTTTAAGCACCACCTTCTTCAACAGTTTCATAAATGTCATCTATGAATAAGTGAGTTCATATAATACCAATGAGGCCAAGGTAACTGGTTTGATTGATTGAATAATGGAATATCTGCTTTGAATAAAGCTGTGATAGGAGGAATATCTATCCCAGCATTTAGGTTGGGCTAATTTTATTTTTCCATAAAAGGTATTGAAACTATCCTTGAGACCTAATGGGCTTAGGAGACTAAAGGCTTAAGGTGTTGACATCATTTCCTGATCACCTGAGTAAAAGACCTGAGAAGCTCCAAGCTGTTCACTGATATTTCCCAAGCTGACCACCATGCATAGTTAAGAAACAGGGGAGTTGTGATTACCTGAAAAAATCCCCAGTATTCTTGCAGCATTATGATTGAATAACCTTCCCTTGCTATTGCTAAATAATCTCCTTTTGTTAACTGTTGAATGACCTATGAATGCTTCATTATGTTCCATCATTGGACCTCAACTGTCAGACCACTGGCCTGACTCAGGCCCAGCCTAGAAGAAAGACACTATCATAGGTATTAAGAGAAAGCAGCAATATATGAGATCCATTCCTTAAAAGATGCATACAATATAAACACAAAGAATAACAGCAAAAACCTGAAACTGAATAACGTGCGATTAGAATGACCCAGTTGGGCCCCGGAAAAGAGATGAGAAAAGACAAGTTCCTCTTTTCCTTAAGGGGATAGAGGGGAACGTTACATGTCCAGTCAGTTGATAGGTTGGTTAGTTTTGGCTCCTTTCACTAAACTGCTTTTTTTCCTCCTCTCTCCTAAAATTCTTACGAGACAGCTCACTTTTAGGGGCAGGGATGGATATCTTTAGAAATAAAGGTGATATAAGACATCAAAATATATTGATAACAATTTTGAAAAAAGATAAAATACAAAAGACAGATTTCTTGCACTCAAAGAATTTACAATCTAGTAGGGGAAAATTGACATGGGATTTGGGATTTCTGACTTGGGCTGGATCTCATGGGAGATCCCAGGTGATCTTCCAAGAAATGACTGATCAGGAGATTAAGACCTTGTTGATACAAGTCAGAGGTGAAGATATTCAGATTGAAGTGGAACTAGCAATCATAGGATCCTCAGTTCCATTATATGGCATATTTGTGCTCGCTGGGTGTTGAGTGGTAGTGAATCCAAATAAATGAAATGAACTAGTATGGTTTGATGAGCTGCATTTCTACAAAACAGTCTCATTACTTATATTCTTTGCTATTTTACATATATACATATTGTGTTTTTGTATTTCTGTCTTTGCATTTAAGTGGATGAAAACCAAGAACATGTACATATATACTTACCTGGATATCATCTATTTTTCTCCTATTGATTTAAATGGAAGAAGTTGCTTTATTGAGTTGAGTAGTTTTTCCTTCTCATCATTGTTGCTTATCATTTTCCATCCACCATGAAAAGCAGCAATGTTCTTTCTTTGCTCCTCCTCTTTCCCCAACTTAGCGGTACTGTGTTAAACTAGTGTTTCATTCCACTACCAGTTACATTTCGTCCTATGCAAATAGCATTCCATCTATATATGCCATAAGGCTCTAACAAGGGTTAAAAGCACCTTTGATTCTGTCTATTACAAATAAGAATCCTGCCTTAGACACTTCCTAGCTGTGAGACCCTAGCTAAGTCAGTTAACTCTGTTTGCCTCAGTTTCCTCATCTGTAAAATGAGCTGGAAAAGGAAATGGCAAACCGCTCCAGTGTCTTTGGTAAGAAAACCCCAAATGGGGTCAAGAGCCACACATGACTGAAATGACCTAACAACAGCAAAAACAACATTATGAATGAACTCTGGGGAAGTGTTCTTGTAGTGCTCCAGTCAATAAAGAAGATGAAGTAATTGTTGGTGTAATTTTTCATTACCCAGTTCACCCTTGTGTAGAATGTGACAGGCTATACAGGACCCTTGAAATTTTCAGAGCCAGATATAATAGAAGGGTAATTTCAGACAGGCAAGCCATGCAACCTTTAATTTCATCTGGAGGTGAGAATAATTGAGTGATTCATGCACAGGGAGTGAGTATTTGTCAGTTACTCTGGAGAATACTTAACCGATTGTGTCAGTTTCCCAGTCAACTGCCCAGTGAGAGGAGTGGTCTCCAGAGGCCTCCTCACCAGGAAATGGAATTAAACCCATTATTTGTAAGAGATTAAATATTGATCACAATTTTATATTTGTTTTGTATTGAAATCCATACATAAGTGCTTTCTGATTATGAGTTTGGTTTCTGTATGAATCTTCAGTTCAAGTATCAATTTAGCATCCATTTCTATAAACTGCTTTTAAAAAAATGAACGCATTCTCTCAAATGATGGCAATAATATCTTTGTGACATAGTGTGAGGCCATGTATGTGACTTAGTTCTCAGACTAAAATAATATTGCTAAGTGAATTCAAAAATGGATACAAATGTGATAAAAAAAATATTTAAAGGCATTGTGGCTAAAAACCAGTTATCATAAAAGGGACTACAATACTACAAAAGGCCTCTAATTTCTCCAATGGGAATATTTCCTCCACTGATTAAAAATGCAGCCCTTCTGTGATTTGGCTGTCCAGTTAGTTATTTCTGACTCTTTATGAAAAAGCCCTTTGGGCTTTTCTTGGAAAAGATATTGGAGTGGTTTGCCATTTCCTTGTCCAGTTAATTTTACAGATGAGGAAACTGAGGCAAGCAGGGTTAAATGACTTGTCCAGGGTCACACAGCTAGTAAGTGTCTGAGGCCAAATTTGAGCTCAGGAAGATGAATCTTCCTGACTCTAGGCCCAGCACTCTATCCGCTGTGCCCCCTAGCTACTTCAGTGATTTAGTATATAGGTTAATGTGTCCTGTATTCAAAAAAGTTCATTATCTTTTGGCCAGCTTCTGATGAACACCTTCCTATTATTAGCAAGGTTGGTCACTGGAGAATGGACCATTGCTGTGCTTCTGCTGAGTTTTTCCATCTTGGCAACATCCAACTGGTGTTATAAGCTGCCCAGGGTGCTAAGTATAGAGAGCACCAAAGTTCAAAGTCTTGAGTCAAAACCTAATTCTCTAGTGGGGAAGGGAGATGGATGCAGTTCCATTAAAAAGGAGAGTAATGACTGAAAGGGTAGGAACTCAACACTGCCTCACCACAGGTATGTGACTGTAACCCACCCCTTTTAAAACATGTTTCATCACTCAATCTGGGATCATAGATCCAAATCTGAAAGGACCCTGAGTGACCATCTAATCCAACTCCTCATTTTTCCAGCTAAGGAAACTGAGGCCTAGAAAGCAACATGATTTGTCCAAGGTCTTACAGGTAGTATTATGTAGGAGATAGGATTTGAACTCAGGTCTTCTATGCCAATTCTCCTAGCTCAAGTGACAGTGCTTTATGTGCCCGGAACCAACACTGATATGGACCACCATTGCCCCTCCACTGTGGTCTGGGTAAATAAGAAACCAGATATCTTTTCTTCCTATATGCCCACCTTAACTCCTCAAATCTGGATTCCTCCCAACACAAGCTTAGGCCAAGAAGATGGAGCATGGGAATGAGAAACAATCTAATAAATTAAGAAACATATATACCCTAACCCTAGATGCCTCTGACTCTATTAAATCTCTATGATGTGCAAGTTATGTGGTATATGCTTAATGTATAGAAACAAAATTGAGATGATCCCCAACTCTACAGTGGAATGATGGATAGCCTCCAGATCATTAAACCTATATACCAGGACACACCAG